GACGCAGGACCCATTCCAACAAATGGGCCCCCCCCAAGAGTCATCTAACTGCCCCACCCTGTAAGCAGCAAGCTGGAGATGCAGGAAAGCATCTGGTTGTTTGGGAGTGACAATTCAGGTAGCGGAGGGGAGGGAGGCTTCCTATTAAACACGGCAAAGATGGAACGTGACACGGCTTCTCCAGCTGGTATGGATCCAAGCAGCTTCATATCGAAAGTGACCAGAATTCGATAGATCCGTGTGTCCAACCGCTAGGGAGATACTAGGCGTGTGGCGGGTTCCTCTACAGACTAGCACAGTGTTTCTGAAACTGATCCACGGAGCAAGGCAGTCGGAGGTGTGCCGTGAAGAACAGAGTTCAAAATGGCCACCCTTAAAGGGGCAGGAGGCTCTTTTTTTTTTTTACATCTACGCGTGGAATAAATTTTGTGCACACCAAGGCATGTGCAGGTGTGCACCACCAAAAGCAACCCACGCTGCTGGCCAGAAGTACTCGACTAATCAGCTGCGCGGCACTGAAATCTCTCTTGGCCGGCCGCCCAAGCGCTCGGCTTCCAGCGAACGCTGAACAGAAAGGCAGGACTTGGCACTAGAGCAGTGTTCCTTAAACTTTTTCAGACCAAGGAACACCAAACAAGCATTGGCTTTTTATGCGCAACACCAAGGATTTTTTGTGTGTGCTTGTGGGGGGGAAGGGGGAGGACAGGGGGAAGTTGGCCGGCCAAGAGAGATTTCAGTGCCGCTTAGCTGATTAGTAGAGTACTTCTGGCCAGCAGCGTGGGTTGCTTTTGGTGGTGCACACCTGCACATGCCTTGGTGTGCACAAAATTTATTCCACGCGTAGATGTAAAAAAAAAAAAGAGCCTCCTGCCCCTTTAAGGGTGGCCATTTTGAACTCTGTTCTTCACGGCACACCTCCGACTGCCTTGCTCCGTGGATCAGTTTCAGAAACACTGTGCTAGTCTGTAGAGGAACCCGCCACACGCCTAGTATCTCCCTAGCGGTTGGACACACGGATCTATCGAATTCTGGTCACTTTCGATATGAAGCTGCTTGGATCCATACCAGCTGGAGAAGCCGTGTCACGTTCCATCTTTGCCGTGTTTAATAGGAAGCCTCCCTCCCCTCCGCTACCTGAATTGTCACTCCCAAACAACCAGACGCTTTCCTGCATCTCCAGCTTGCTGCTTACAGGGTGGGGCAGTTAGATGACTCTTGGGGGGGGCCCATTTGTTGGAATGGGTCCTGCGTCTACCCCTGGGGCTGAACAGGGTCTGTGGTTTGGACAGAGATCTCTGTCTTCCGTCGGGGGCAGGCCCTTTCTCGTTTTAATCCTGCCCCGGGGGTAGTTGCACGTTGCCACTGGAATTAAATTGCTCTGCTGCCGTGTCTGTCTAAAGTGGGGCTAATCCGGACTCGTTTTTCCGGGCTGTCGAGGAGAAGAGATGAGCTTTTTGGAGAGGTAGCGCGACAGGGTCTTCTGCCTGGGAACTATGTTAGGACCCACCAAGATTGCTCCAAGGATCGGTCTTAGGACCAATCCTATTCAACGTATTCATAAACGATCTGGAGAAAGGGGTAAACAGCGAGGTGGCCACGTTTGCAGACGATACTAAACTGCTCAAGGTAGTTAAGACCAAAGCGGACTTTGAAGAACTTCAAAAAGATCTCACCAAACTGATTGGGTAACAACATGGCAAACGAAATTTAATGTGGATAAATGTAAAGTAATGCACATCGGGGGAAAAATAACCCCAACTATACATATAAAATGCTGGGGGCTAATTTAGCTACAACTAATCAGGAAAGAGATCTTGGAGTCATGGTGGATAGTTCTCTGAAGATGTCCACGCAATGTGCAGCGGCAGTCAAAAAAGCTAACAGGATGTTAGGAATCAGCAAAAAAGGGATAGAGAATAAGACGGTGAATATCTTACTCTCCTTGTATAAAACCATAGTACGTCCACATCTGGAATACTGTGTATACAGATGGGCTGTGTCTAGACTGGCCAGTTTTTCCGGAAAATCAGCCGCTTTTCCGGAAAAACTTGCCAGCTGTCTACACTGGCCGCTTGAATTTCCGCAAAAGCACCGACTTCCTACTGTAAGAAATCAGTGCTTTTCCGGAAATACTATGCTGCTCCTGTTTGGGCAGAAGTCCCTTTTGCGCAAAATGTTTGCGCAAAAGGGCCAGTGTAGACAGCTCAGATTTGTCTTGCGCAAAAAAGCCCCGATGGCGAAAATGGCGACGGGGCTTTTTTGCGCAAAAGCGCATCTAGATTGGCCACAGATGCTTTTCTGCAAAAAGCACTTTTGCGGAAAAGCGTCCGTGCCAATCTAGACGCTCTATTCCGAAAATGCTTTTAACGGAAAACTTTTCCGTTAAAAGCATTTCCGGAAAACCATGCCAGTCTAGACGTAGCCATGTGGTCTCGTCTCAAAAAAGATCTACTGGCATTAGAAATGTTTCAAGAGAACGGCAACTAAAATGATTAGGGATTTGGAACGGGTCCCGTGTGAGGAGAGATTAAAGAGACTGGGACTTTTCCGCTTGGAAAAGAGAAAACTAAGGGGGATGCGCTAGAGGTCTATAAAATCATGAGTGGTGTGGAGAAAGTGAATAAGGAAAAGTTATTGACTTGTTCCCATCATATAAGAACTAGAGGCCACCAAATGAAATTAATGGGGAGCAGGGTGTAAAAGAGACCTAGATAAATTCATGGAGGTTAAGTCCATCAATGGCTATTAGCCAGGATGGGTAAGGAATGGTGTCCCCAGCCTTTGTTTGTCACAGGGTGGAGATGGATGGCAGGAGAGAGATGGCTTGATCGTTACCTGTTCGATTCACTCCCTCTAGGGTACCTGGCATTGGCCATCCATCTCCATCCTCTGACAAACAGAGTCTAGGGACACCATTCCTTACCCATCCTGGCTAATAGTCATTAATGGACTTCACCATCATGAATTTATCTAGCTCTTTTTTTCAACCCTGTTGTTGTCCTTGCCTTCATAAACTCCTCCAGCAAGGAGTTCCACAGGTTGGCTGTGTGAAGAAGAACTTCCTTTTATAAAGCATCTGGTGGCCTGCTAGGGTCTGACCTTGCAGAACAACATCTGGCCCATGGGCCGTTTATTGCCCGCCCCATCTGTAGAATGTGTGGGGTTTGGCTGGATGATTGCTGGTCACGGTTCTAATAACTCCCATAGAATATAGAGGCCCAAAGAGTCAAAGATGTTAATCTGACAGTGAAGCAAGGCCGGGCCCCTGGACTGATTGCCTCTCGTCCCGACCTGATGGCAGGTCGGGAGTTAGACTTTGGGACTAGAGACTTGGGGGACTATTTTAAGAGGCTGTACAGTGGGGCAGACATGCCGCCCACTGACCGGAGGCAGAGGAACCCCTCCAGGAGGACTACCAGCCTACACTCCCTTCGTTGAAAAGCCACGTAAACTTCAGCTCTGCTTTCGAAAGTGAGATTAGAAGATAAGCAAATTCCCACAGAATTTGCATAGCCTCTTTCCAAACTCCTCCTCCCTCCCCCCAGCTTAGACGTGCCCTCAGTCCCTGCCGAACAGTAAACATTTTGCGACAAAGTTCGTGGCTTGGACAAAGACCTCTACCTGTTTTGTATCATGGCAGCTGCATCATTAAAAATCTGTAACTTTTTATGAAAGACACCGAAAAGAATGAAAATCGGTTGCAGAATTTGAAATACAACGTTTTAAGGCTTTTGTTGGTATCGAGGGCTACATCTAAACTACACCTCTGTCGTCAGAGGGATGTACATTAGATGTATCAAAAGTGCAAATGAGTTTGGGATTTAAATATCCCATGCTTCGTTTGCATAAGGGCGGACGCCGCTTTTTTAGAAACGGGGCTTTTTTTTAAAAAAAAAAAGGCAGTTTAGACGGGGCATTTTCGACAGAAATGCCCTGTTTTGAAAGATCCTGTACTCCTCAAATGAAAAAAAGCGTCGGCTGCCATTATGCAAATGAAGCGTGGGATATAAGGACAATTCGCAAAGTTTAATGGAGAAATGGTCGGAGGTAAACAGGATGAAATTTAATAAAGACAAATGCAAAGTGCTCCACTTAGGAAGGAACAATCCGTTTCACACATACAGAACGGGAAGCGACGTCTGGGAAGGAGTCCGGCAGAAAGGGATCTACGGGTCATAGTGGACCACAAGTTAAATATGAGTCAGCAGTGTGATGCTGTTGCAAAGAAAGCAAACGTGATTCTGGGCTGCATTAACGGGTGTGTTGTGAGCAAGACACGAGAAGTCATTCTTCCGCTCTACTCTGCGCGGATTTGGCCTCCGTTGGAGTCTTGTGTCCAATTCTGGGCACCGCATTTCAAGAAAAGCGTGGAAAAATTGGAGAAGGTTCAGAGAAGAGCAACAAGAATGATGAAAGGTCTAGAGAACATGAGCGATGAAGGAAGGCTGAAAGAATTGGGCTTGTTTAATTTGGAAAAGATTTGGAGAAGATTAAGGGGAACATGAGCCGTTTTCAGGTATCTAAAAGGGAGTCACAAGGAGGGAGAAAACTTGTTCATCTTGGCCTCTGAGGATAGAACAAGAAGCAATGGGCTTAAACTGCAGCAAGGGAGGTTTAGGTTGGACGTTAGGAAAAAGTTCCTAACTATCACAGTGGTGAAACTCTGGAATAAATTGCCCAGGGAGGTTGTGGAATCCCCATCTGTGGAGATATTGAAGAGTAGGTTAGATAAATGTCGAGCAGGGATGGTCTAGACAGTTCTGGGTCCTGCCATAGGGGCAGGAGACTGGACTCGATAATCTCTCGAGGTCCCTTCCGGTCCTAGTATTGTATGATATTTAAATCCCGGCTTTATTTGCACTTTGATCCATCTAATTTACATCCCTCTGCCTCCAGGTGGGTATAGTTGAGACACGGCGTAAGAGAGGTTTTTTTAGTCTCCGTTTGGCCATCCCTTTTGTGTATTTGACGAACTGATAATTTAGGACTGGAATGATTCGGAAACCAGCCCAAGATAATGAGATGCGAGCAGCGTTTCGACACCTGTTTATCCTGATCGGTAGCTAAACACGGCTCATTGCGTTTCTCCTTCTGTCCCGGAGGTTGTGTCCTAAACTGGGATGTTTTCTTCTTTGTCGCGTGTGTGTAGGAGCCCAAGCCGCCTGCGTACCAGCCGTCGCAATATGGACCTTGCCTCTATGAGATGAAACAGTTCTTGGAATGTGCTACCAATCAGAGCGATCTGACCTTGTGCGAAGGCTTCAACGAGGCGCTGAAGCAGTGCAAATATAACAATGGTGAGTTTTTTGGTGGGTTTTGCTGCTGAGTGCATAGATGGGAGAGCGGTCAAGTTTGCGACGGATCAGCTCGTGTTGGGTGACTTAGTCCAGCGGGGTCTGAGCGTTCGAGCGGTAGCTGATGGGTCGTTTCTCCTAAAGAAACCGAACCCCTCCTGGTGGAAGAGGTTGTTGTCCTCGTTGACGTGATGGCAAGTCCCCACGCCGCTGCCATTTCAGGAATGTTGTACCCTCCATGCATGGAAAGAAGAAGAGAGTCACTTCTTGGTCCATGACTTAACGGCGTGAAAATGGCGGTCCAGATAGTGGACTTTAGGGGTTGGGTGCTCTATTGCCAAGTTGCTTGTGAGCGCCTACCCCTTTCCCAGTAGTTCCTCTTTGGCAAATTGGCAAGAAATAAGGAGATGGTGCTTGGTCAAAACTGGCGCCTCTTGTTCTGGCCAGTTGTGGGGAGTTGACCTTCAGGGAAGCGCGTTTCTGCCGGATACTGAACTTGAGTTTCTCCAACTTTGCAGGTGTGTCTTCCCTCCTGTGAAGAAATTCAGCGCTACCCGCAGGGAAAGGAGAGCCAGAAAAGAATGGAAGAGCAAGGAAGGAAGAGCTAGTGACCAAAGTAACCGGTGGAAGGGAAGACTAGTCCGGCCGGAGCAAAGAGCCACATAGAGCTAATTCGCTTCTAGAAGTGCCAGGAAAGACCGATGGTTGGAATTTGAGGCTTTCAGAATCCAGATCACATTTTAATGCCTAGATCTAATAAAAGCAGATGGTTTATTTTAATTGATGAGCCGTTTGTATGTTGTCGCTTACTCTAGACGCGAAGGCTTTTGCCGTTCTGGTCTCTCAGGCTGCATCTACATTGGCACGATTTTGCGCAAAAACTGGCTGCCTGTCTACATTGGCCGCGAGTCCTTGCGCAACTGACGTTCTAATGTATGAAATCAGGGCTTCTTGCGCAAGAACGAGGATTCTCCCGCTCAGGAATAAGCCCTTTTGCGCAACTGTTCTTGCGCAAGAGGCCAGTGTAGACAGGCGACATGAATTTCTTGAGCGAGAAATCCCGATGGCTAAAATGACCATCGGAGCTTTCTTGCACAAGAGAGCGTTTACACTGGCACGGATGCTCTTGCACAAAGGCACATGCCAGTATAGATGCTCTCTTGTGCAAATAATTTAACGCAAGAGTTCTTGCGTTAAAGGGTATTTGCACAAGATCATGCCGATGTAGACGTAGCCTCAATGTTCTTTCTTCCCCTCCCCTTTCAGACAAAGGGGAGCCGGAAAATTTAAAATCCGTGTGGCTGGATGACTCCGCAAAACCAAATGAAGTCTGGGCCTGGATTTCCACTCACGGGACATGTACGCTGCCCTGCTGTGCTGTTTTGTCTGCTGAAAAGGCCAGATCAGGAAGTCTGCAAGGCAGGGGTGGGAACCTCAGACGCAGGGTCCGGAAGCTGCCCCTGACTTGCCTAGAGCTGGCTCTCGAAGCTCAGTATTGGGGAACCCATCCTGGAGCTCCAGTTCCTCCCCGCCCCCCGCCACCCTCCTACAAGGGGAGAGGGCTTTTCTGTGGGCCTCCGACCTGAAAAAGGTTCCCCGCTTCTGCTCTAAGGGTACGGCTATTCAAACATAACAGGGTGGGCATCTAAAGGAACAGAAGAGACATCTATCCGGGATGGTCTAGTCAGTACTGGGTCCTGCCTTGAGGGCAGGGGACTAGACTCGATGACCTCTTGAGATCCCTTCCAGTTTTAGTGGTCTGTGATTCCAGTAAATCTGTTAGTCTAGAAGGTGCCACAAGACTTCTCGTTGAAACGAATTAGACATCCCCCGAAAACATGGCTCCGCAAAAGCCCAGCGGGTTCAGTTATAGGGGAGCAAGCTAATGTGGTAGCGACTAACAAAGGCTGTCCCGAGACAATCCAGATTGGGTGTGTCGCAGAACAGTGCAATGGGCAAGGGATGAAGTTACGAAGGCAGCCGGCTGAACTGGGATTGGTCCTGCCTTGGAGAAGGGGCTGGACTTGATGACCTCCTGAGGTCTCTTCCAGCTCAAGGATTCTATGAGGAGGTGATTCACAGCTGACAATGCTGGGCAATTCTTCTTCATTCCATCAACCTGTGGAACTCCTCGCCGGAGGAGGTTGTGAAAGCTAGGGTTGAAAAGTGGAGGCTAAGTCCATTCCTGGCTATTATTATTCCAGTTCTATGATTCTATGAACACGCAGCAAAATCGAAACTGACGCAATTAGGAATGCAGCTGCCGGCAGCAAGCAAAACGCTGCTTTGAATGGTAAAGTTGGGATTCTCTTTCCACGTGGACGAAATTTCTCCGAAACTCTTAGGGTGTTTCTAGACTGGCCAGTTTTTCCGGAAAATCAGCCGCTTTTCTGGAAAAACGTACTAGCTGTCTACACTGGCCACTTGAAATCAGTGCTTTTGTGGAAATTCTTATAGTAGGAAATACTATGCTGCTCCCGTTCGGGCAAAAGTCCCTTTTGCGCAAAACTCTTGCGCAAAAGGGCCAGTGTAGACAGCTGAGATTTGTTTTGTGCAAAAAAGCTCCGATGGTGAAAATGGCGATCGGGACTTTTTTGCGCAAAAGCGCATCTAGATTGGCCACGGATGCTCTTCCGGGAAAAGTGGTTTTGCGGAAAAGCATCCGTGCCAATCTAGATGCTCTTCTCCGAAAATGCTTTTAATAGAAAACGTTAAAAGCATTTCCGGAAAATCATGCCAATCTAGACGCAGCCTTAGTTATTTTAATTGTCCTTTCTCTGTGGCGCCTGACGGAATTGTCTGAATTTCATTCCCTGGATGGGTTTGTAAGAAGAATTTCTGCTACTATAGTTGGATTACTCTTCGCTGTTTGGCAAAACGGGGAAGCTGTATTTCTCCCCTAAACATAACACAAGAATGGGCATACCCCAACCTTGAAATTTAGGCCTTTCCCTCACCAAAACTTCACGATCTTAACTTTGGGCCGGGTTTCGTTTCTTCTGCCATCTGACTTCCAGGGCGTGTCTCGACTTGCTTTCACTTTCGAAAGAAGATATGTAGATTGGTGCGAATTTGCATACCTTCCGATCGCTTTTTTTGGAAGAGGTTTATTTTTAAAAAGAAAGTAGTTTAGATGCAGTTCTTTTGGGTGGGAAAAAAACACACCGTTTTTCCTAAAACAACAATTGCTTTGGTAGCACTTTATAGACAAACGAAACGTAGATGGTATCATGAACTTTCGTGGGCACAGCCCGCTTCAGATAACTGGAGAACGGAAATAATTTTCCTTTCCAAATGCAAACAGATGGACATTATACCTAATGGCCTAAGGGTGAAAAACCCACTACAGTAACAGACTAACGCGGCTACCCATTGAAGCTCCTCCTAAAACAATGAGGTTTACGTGGTTCTTTTGAAAAAGGGTTCCCTCTCCCCGTAAGAACCACGTCTAGACTACTTTCTTTTTCGGGGAAAAAACCTCTTTTGAAAAAGCGATTGGACGGTATGCAAATTTGTGCCCAATTTGCATATCGTCTTTCGAAAGTGAAAGCAAATCTAGACATGCCGGCAAGTGCTCCACGGTGAGAGAGACGGCCAAGGGAAAATCTAGATGCGAAGGACATTCAGGTTTTGTTTTGTGTATAAGGGATGAATTTGTGGTCCCGGGAACATCGATACAAATCTGCAATAACTAACAGAGCAACTCGAAAACATACTTACTGCAAATGAGATTAGAATTGGTGTTTGCACATGGGCTCACACATCTGTGAAAAACCAATTCCATGCAGCGTTCCATGCACTCTTAAATCACTATTTGAATTCCGTGACATGCCTCTAATATTTTATGAAATACGTTCTACTCTGGTTCATACAAATATTCCTCAGTGATCCACTTTGGCCTCAGAATTGGTGTTTGCACATGGGCTCACACATCTGTGAAAAACCAATTCCGTGCGGCATTCCATGCACTCTTAAATCACTATTTGAATTCCGTGACATGCCGCTAATATTTTATGAAATACGTTCTACTCTGGTTCATGCAAATATTCCTCAGTGATCCACTTTGGCCTACTCAGGCTATGTCTAGCCTGCGGGCTCCTTGCGCAAGAAGCTTTTTGCGGAAAAGATCTTCCACACAAACGTGCACAACAACACCGCCACACTGTGAAAGCGCCTCGGAAAAGCGATGCGCTTCTGTGCGCAAGAGCGTCCACACTGCACGGACGCTGTCTTGCAAGAAAGCTCCGATGGCTATTCACAGAATAGCCACCAGGGCACCTGTGCTTTTATTCGATTGCCTCTTT